AAATTGCAACTTTTTTGATGGTTTGTTTTTTTTGTTGTGAGGTGTGTCAAATTACGCTATAGGTAAGCCTTGCCTGTGCTATTCTGGCATCCTTTGCAAAAATGTATGACCTCCTCTTACGACGAGGTAGCATAGAGAGGATGCTTCACAAAAGGCAATTATGATGAGCTCTCCCTGACTCCTGGGTCTGAGAGAACAAATACTCTCCTCTGAGTTAGCACAGGGAGGAGACAGTGTCCCTGCATAAAACTTCATATACAGTGGGAGGAGAATCGTATTTTAAGCAACTTGCATAGAAACCCTGGGTGCGGGCTGACTTTGAGGATCCACGTTGAACACACCCCTTAAAATGCACTTGTCATTTTACCCACGTGGTTTGTTGCATGAGGGGCTGAATTTTTTTTTTTTTTAAAGAGCCTGAAGTCGGGCTCCAAAATCTTTATTTAATAGTTTCTGGAGTGTGTGATGGGATTTTCAACAGTACTCAGCACTTGACAGTTGCCAGTGACTTCAGGGGGGAAGCTCTTGGCTATTCAGTGCTCTTTAAAAATCAGACTGCTTATTAGCAGCTTACCTCTGGGCTTCTGTTTTGCCAGTCTTAGCAGGAAATGTTTAGAGACTTACGGTGCTGCTTCTGATGGTGGAGCAGTTGGGCAGCAGGTGTGACTAAATCATTAATAACCAATGCTCTGGTTTGATCTCCCCGCCCCCATTAGGTAGTACTTGAAAGTCCCAGTCAGGGACCAAGAAACAATTGTGTTAGGTGCTGTACAAACAGAAAACCAAAACGGCCCAGATGTCTCTTCTTTTCCTTGTCCTCCCCCGTCTGTGTCTAACTGTTGTCTCTGGCAATCTAAGTGCAAGACAAGCTCTTTAGGACAAAAGCCATCTTCTTCTATTCATACAATGCTGGGCACAATGGACTCCATGACAGGCTTTTAGGCGCTTGCACAGGGCAGATAATTATTAATTACGTGTGTTGTGGCAGGCTGCTGGCCGGTGGCTCGCCAGCCCAGCAGAGGTTTTACTAAGGGAACATCCCCGTTCAAGCAACTCGGCAAAAGTCACTGTACATATTTTTTGATCTAAAATAAACTTGAAAGCGTCAATTTTTCAGATGCTGCCACCTGAAGGAACTAAAGGGTCAGTACTCCTGTCTGCGACTGCAGCTGGAGCTGGATTTAGCATATAGGGTCTAAAGAACACTGAACTGTAAAAATATGCACCATTTACCCTCAAGATGGCCCTACTGCAGGGTGGTGGCTTATAATATGCGAGCCTTTGGAGGGTCCACAGAGCAATAAAATCTAACTATATTTGCTTGTCTAATAACGGGAACATGATAGAACCCTAAAGGGAGTGTAGACCAATCGGACGCAGACTAATACAACATCCTGTCAGCTTGACTGGTGTCAGCCCTTCTTTATTACTTTAATAAAAACTTAAGAAGTATGCCTCAATTGTGTTGCATTATTGTTTAAAGATCCCCGAGAAGGGTCAGCTTCAACTGGAACGGTGCCGCGCCGCGCCGCGCCTCGCCTCCTAGGCTAATATCAGCACTGACAAATTTGAAAACAAATGTGGCTCTTTTAAATGCCAGTAATGGCTCGCTAATGGGGAAGCAGCAGCAGGTTGGCTAGTGGTAGGGGACAGTATTGGGAGAGCTGCAGAGCACCACGGGCAGGGGGTTGAAAAGCCTAATGCAGCCCAGACGTGTAATGCAGCCGCTTTAATATTCCAGGTAAATTTGCAGAGGACATTTTTGGAGAGCTCTTTACCCAGGCCAACACCTTTGCCTCTCGGGTGAGCACTCTGGTCGAGAGAGTTGACCGCTTGCAAGTCAAAGTCACTCAACTGGATCCCAAAGAGGAAGAAGGTAATGGAGTGGAGCGCAGCGCTTGCAGCCCCCGCATGCTAAAGAGCCCCGGAGTTCACAGCCTTGGAATGAGTTTGAAGTTGTTATAAGTGCTAGAGGCTTGCGGGTGGGTTTTTCCCCCCCTTCCACTAAAGAGGCATTCTTCCCTCCTCTCCTTGAAAAGCCCTTTGCTGCGTGCATGTGGAGGAGTTCCAAACCAGTCTGCTTCTGCTGGGCTTGGGCATTATCAAGTCTCCACACACAGTGGCTGTCTGGTCAGTAAATGAAATGGCAGCACAGCTCTGTTTACAGAGATTTTAAAAGCTCATCAGCACCTTTCTTGACAGCCATAGCTAAACCGGCTCTGCTCTTGGTGGAGACAGGGTCAGAGTGTTGCTGGGCTTCCTAAGAGAGCTGTGGAAAAAGGAACCTGACCCCAAAAAGCGCTGAGCACGCTGAGCCCCACAACAGAAGTCAGATATTGCTGCTTAATCTTCTGTGTCAATGGCCTAAGGGGAGGTGTCCTTCATTTTCTCTCTTCACTGCTTCCCTACAGTGTCCTTACAAGGCATTAACACGAGGAAGGCCTTCAAAAGCTCTACCACTCAGGACCAGAAGCTGTTTGACAGAGAATCTCTCCCAGTTCCTGTCCTTGAAACCTACAGCACCTGCAATACTCCTCCACCACTCAACATCCTCTCGCCTTACAGGTAAGGCTGCAGCATCTCCGCAGCCAGATGAGGTGATCGCTCAAGGAGCAAGGTTATCATCCAGCCTCATCGAGAAGTGCAGTTTCCTAAGGGAAGCAGGGTAACCTGCTGGAGTGTCAGGCAGTCTCTACCCTCCCCTTGAGCTTTCTGTGGTTCTGCTTATGAGGTTGGGCATACAAATGCCACTAGAAACTACACGTTAGGTTACCTCGTGTTGTTTCTGTGACTGCCTTGGAGGAGAGCCCTGAATAGCACTGCATACATTTCCTAGTTCTTTATGATGCACGTTGTCATGCGTCTCAGTAATCATGCCCCTTTCCGAGAGCTTTCTTACAGACCGAGTTGGGCCCAAATAGGCAGTGCAAGAGGATCCTGTACATTTTGGGGTTTCTTTCTATATTTTCTATGCCAGGTCTCCGATGCCTGTTGCAACCTAGAACCTGGCTAGATAAGCAGCCTGAAGTCTGTCCCCGTAATGATCTAGCTGTGTCATGTCATCCTGTCGATGCTTGCAGAGCGGGGGGTCAGAATGCGAATTTTTCTGTAGTCCACCTCCATAAATATCTTTTGAACAGGTAAAAGTAATTACAGATAGCTGGAGGCAGCTGTCTTCCACGGGATGCAGCCGTACTGCAAAGTAGGAGTGTGTGTATGTGCTCATGAGTTTCAAGGACGCTGCTGCTCTGATTTAGGGTTTCTGCAGCAGAGAAGATGGTTCTCCACAAAAAGGAGGGGAAAAAAAAGCAGGATATGGGTGAGGGGAAAGGAGGAACTTGCCAAAAGGTCACAGTACGTGCAATTGCATGAAAGGTTTGACTCTGCGTGCTCTTGGAGGAAGTAAGAGGAGCTCAGTCTGTGGTGTGGGGGGAGCAGGATGCAGAATTTCACCAGAGTTTCTCTGCTTTCTGATAGGAGTTTTGTCCAGGGCTTTGAGACATGTCCACTTGGGGGTGTATTTATCAGCCTTGCTGTGCAGCCACGCTGTCTGCAGAAGGGCTGCATGCAGAGAGGAAGTAGGAGGAGGCCTTGACAGAAAGTGGGAGGGGAGGTTATATTTTACAGGGGCAGAGTGGAGGTGAGAGAGGTACCGTTCTCTTAGTGATGATTCAGAACAGCTGAGGTCTTGCACAGAATTTCAGATGCAGAAATCCAAACCCGGAGGCGAATTGTGCTGCAAGGCCTTGGGGGTGAAATGGGTGGCTCCTGTCAGACCCAGAGGCCTGCTGTCTGTTCTGAAGGAGATGAGGAGCACGTGTAAAATGTCTGGCCTTTTGTTTCCAACTCCTGAAGGGTTGTCTGGCATTTTGTTTGGGCTTCATGCAAGCACCTAACTGGCTCTTGTGTGTCTTTCTACCCCAGAGAGGATGGCAAAGAAGCACTTAAGTTCTACACCGACCCTTCATACTTCTTTGACCTTTGGAAGGAGAAAATGCTGCAGGACACCAAGGATATCATGAAAGAGAAGCGGAAGCACAGGGTGAGGGAACAGGACGTCTTTGCAGACCAGCAAAATGATCCTAGACAAAAGTTAGGCAATCGTCTGAAGTAGCTATTCTTCCGATCCTGGTGTTTCCTTTCCCTTGGGTTCTTTAGGGAGGAATTGGGCGTTCTCACAAGTAAAAATACAAAACACAAATCCTGGCCCGATCGCTGTAGCTGAGCTTCCTTTTAACACTGGTGAATAATATGGCCAATTGCATTATGAAAGGACTTCATAGCTGGCCTGCCAGGGATCACCTCAAAGTGATTTGCATTTTAGGTGACTGCAGCGTCACATCTCAAAGCATGTCGGGGCTTTCCAGCCAAAGCACAGAAGCAGGGACTTGGGCATGACTGAGTGCTGGAAGTGAGCTTGGTCATGGCCCAGCCCAGCTTCTTGTGGCAGGTGTGTGTCCATGTAACACAAGTCCCACGGAAGTCACCGCTGTTTGGCAAGGAGTTATTTTATAGATTTCATAGACATTAGGGCTGGAAGGGACCTCAGAAGATCATCGAGTCCAGCCCCCTGCCCAAAGGGCAGTAAGTCAGCTGGGGTCATAGGATCCCAGCAAGATAAGCATCCAGTTTGCTCCAGTAAGCATCCAGTTTGTTATAGGCAGCCTCAACATAGGCCAAAGAACATACAGGCCAGGGAAGGTAAACTGCCCTACCATTCCTTGCCATACTAGCCTAGTTTTTCTCAGGCGCAGTTTAAACACACCGGCTGGGCAGTTTTGGAGAAGGGAGTTTGCATTCTTGACAGCGTCTGTTGAAGCTGCAGTGTAGCTGGAGTATTAGTTTTAGTATTGATCTGCCAGTTGGACCCTTCAGTAGTGAAGGCTCTCTAAAATACTTCATGACATTAGTAACATCTTCCAGTGTTGGTTGTCCCCAGCTCTTCGCCACCCCGTTCCCAGTGACCCTGAATAAGGAAGAACTAAACCAACCACCATTTTGTGTTCTAATGGGTTTTCCCCCCACACTCTTTTTCTCTTGTAGAAAGAGAAGAGGGAGAATCCCAACCGAGGGAACATTAATCCCCGGAAGATCAAGACCCGGAAGGAAGAGTGGGAGAAGCTGAAAATGGGCCAAGAGTTCGTTGAGTCCAAGGATAAACATGGGCCTGCTGGGTAAGTGCGTCTGTGGCTGTTCGTCCTGCCCCCCGCGAAGGGGAAGTAGCCTCGTATTGCTGATTGTAATGCAGTTCACCCTGCTCTGCAGTTTCTCCGGCTTTGCAGTGCAGCCTGGATCGATACCACTGCTAATCAGAGTCTCTAAAGTAAATCCATGTGACGATTTGAAATTTGCTAAATAAATCACGAACTTAGCAGTTTAGAGGGGCGGGCCACGAGTGGTTTTCCAAGGCGGCTCTGCTCTTGGCTCTTCTGTGCCACAGACACAGAAATGCCAATGGCTTGGAAGTGGCGATAAGTGCAGTACCACCTAGTTCACCAGGAGCGTGTTAACCAAAAGGCAGTGCAACTGGGCAGGAGGGTGGAAGCAGGAGGTGCACATTCTGTTCCCACCCTAGAGATGTCCTTTTGAGGCCGCCTTGCAGGGATCAGGCTGTGCTTGGGCTCTGGGGGAGGTGGTGGGTACTGTCTGCCATGTGGAAACCCCCTACCAAAAAAATCAGCAAGTGAGATGAGGCGGTTTCTTCACCCCACGACTCACATCAGCACTCAAGGAGTTAAAGGGACATCATTTTGGTAGCCTTTCTGTCTCCTTGTAGTCGTGGCATGAATATATTTAGCAGCCTCTTCCTGGGGAAAACCCGGTGGAGATGGGGCAGGCAGACATTCCCAGAGCCAGCTGCTTCAGGTGTCTGTCTGTTTTGCATCAAGAAAGTGTTCTTGGGTCTTGCAGCGAGGGGGCGGGGCAGCGTCTCCATGATTGCTTTGTTGCGTTTCACAAATCGCACTTCAACATTTTAAGCCTCTTCTCCTCCTTGCCAGGTCTTTTGAGCTACAGCTCTCTCTCCAGCCCCCTTTGCTCGGAGATTTTAATTTAACTGGTGACATCAGTTAGGCTGAAAGCAGACTGAATCCCCACAATGCACTTCTCAACATGCTCCCTTCTTGCTGCTTGCAGCCTCTTTTCATTTGAGAAAATCCTGGTGGTTTTGCTGCTGTTTTTAAATCCCACACTTTATAGTTTTAAAAATAAAACTTGTTTACAGGAGGCCTGGCTGGAAGAATCAGGCTGCACAACGGCACCTTTCCCTTGCTTCGCTGTTTTCCATTTTGGCTTCTGAGCCTTCGAGACCTGTTTTTCTTTCACTGCTTGGAACGATCTTACTGACTGTCAGAGGAGGGGGTGATTCATTCCACCAAGACATGTGGCTCCTGCTTTGGATACTTTATTATTGCATCCACAGTGTGCTAGGTGCTTTCCCAGGCATTCAGGAAGTGCTAGTCCATGCCTTGATAAACTCCGTTGCACTTGGGACTTTTTTGGTGCCATTGACAATGTGCAGCATAACAGAGGTCTTGCAAAGTCCATTTTGGAGCAAAATCCAGCCCTGAAATAAAAGCAAATTTTAAAAATACTAAAATTAGTAGGAGTGTTGTTTTTTTATAATTATTATTTTAAATAAAACAAAAGAAAATAAATTTCCCTGCAGTGTTTGGGAGTGAACATTGCAGTATTGCGCAAGCCCATAGGAGTGGAGAATGACATCGAGTAGATGCTAATAGTAAATAAAAATGAAAGTAGCCAGCATGCTTCCATTTTTCTGAACTGAGAAGCCCGTACAGTAAATCTCGGGTTTCTAACAATCTACGCCTTTTCTTCCTGGAAGCAGTGATAAGGAAACTTTGTTTTACTATGTATAGGCTGTTTTGAACTGGACTGTGCCTTCAGCTGTTCTTTGTATTCTGGTACTTTATAAGGCTGCCATGTCAGGGCTGCACTGCTTTGGGTGTTTTTATGTGGAAAGAGACTCTTCTTTTAGAGGAGCTCGAATAATACGGTTTCTGCTGTCTGCATGGCTGTCTTCTTGTTCCCATGTTTCTGACTCCCTGCTGAGCATTTTTTCCTCATCTACAAGGAGCACTGGGTATAGCTGAGCCACTGTTTTCTTTTAATCTTGTGTTGGCTTTTTTTAGGTACCCCTCCAACATGGTGTATCAGAACGGCAGCATCGGCTCCAACGATAGCATGGATGTAAACTGCTATCCTCCGCCGCCACCGTCGGACTCCATCATGCCTCCACCTCCCTCGTTCCCAGATGATAGTCTGCCTCCACCACCAGTGGAATTTAGGTAACTTCCAAGACCTTTTGTCTCGCTATAGAACCGCACGCGCTGCAAAGCAATGGCATAAGACAGGGTTGGCTGCTCTGCTGAAACCCATTAACAAATACTGTACTGAGGTAAGAGCGAGCCTGTCTGGAAGAAAAGTGCACAATGCCAGTGACCCCCTTCGTAATTTGGGAGACAGTCAGCAAAAGTAAAAGTCATAATGAGAACAACAGCAGGTAAAACTTCAAGTGCTTCATAATATCCGCTGTGGAAGGAGGGCATTTCCCCAGTTCTTCTGTGATTTCAGGTGTTGACACCCTCCTCCTAGCCTCGCAGTTCCAGTGAACGGTCTTTGTTTGGTCAGGAGAGTTTCAACTGATAGGTCTCTTTCTCCACATACAAATATGTCAGAACATGTGGCCTTGCCTCCCCAACCACTCTCCGTACAAAACCGGTTTCTCCTACTGGATTCCTGCCCTATCCCTATCTACCCTCTCTGATCTTTGCAAGTACGAGTTGTAGGTGCTGGCAAACATCGCAGTTTGAGGGCTTGGGAACCAATACTGCCAAGTGCAGAGCGTCTCCTGCGAGGTCTCGAGCACCCTCTTGGCTTCAGCGTATGCTGGACCTGTTGCCTTCAGTGTAAGTTTGAGGGTACATGCATTCTGCGGGATCAGGCCCATTACATACCAATTCCAGGCTGCAAAATTATGTTTTAATAGTAGCTCGAGCCACAGAGGTTTGAACTATAGAATATGGCTTCCACCACAGGTGAATGTTAATAAGCAGAGAGAGAGAGTGTCTGACAAACAGCACCAGTTTGTCTAAGGGCAGTACCGCGCTCTGAAATGTGATTGCAGAAAATGCTCTGATTTCTCATAGCCCAGGCTCCGGTGCTCCACCCTGCATTCTTTTCCAGGACTAGGGGTGTGGGGTTTTAGATGGCATTTGATCTGACTTGCACAGTTACTGAGATCTGTGGCTGCTCACTGAGAACCTCTCTCCCCCCTGCCCAACTCCCCCGCAAACTATCATTATAAAATAACCAGTAATCTCTCTCTATCAAATCAACACCATTAGCTCCGTGTTAAACTTGCCCAGCTCTGAGGCAAAACCATTCTTGTTTGCTGTTTACCAGGCAGTGAGCCATCAGCGTAGGGCTTCCAGTAACGACATGTGCAGTAGTTGATGGTGCTTCCCAGGCCTGTAGTGTTTTCTGCTTGTGGAAACAGTTTTGTTTCCAGATTATTCACTCAACTGTGAATCAGTGTTTCCCATCAGTGTGTACTGGATCTCCATGCATTTTTATCCTAGACCTAGGAAAACGGTGGCAAATCATCCCTAGCACTAGAGTTGTAGGCTTCGAGCCACAGCAGTGAATCCAATGAACAGCTTTATACAAATGTACTAATAGCCCAGGAACACACACAGCATAAATAGCAAATGGATGTTACCTCACCTGCCATTCCTTACTAATAAATGCAACCCCTTGGATTTATTGATGAACGCCGCTGCGGCAGTGTGGGCTGAGAAGGCACTCGGGGCTTGGTCATGCTGCCTGGCCTCGGGCAGGGAGAGGCTGGATGGCTGGTTGATAAGATGGTTCTGTCAGCTGCCCTGTGAGCTATCAGTTGTTCTGTTGCCTTAGCCAGGAGAAAGGCAACAGGATACTTAATACCAGCAAGCAGCGTCCTGGGGAATTTCAGTAGAAGCTGGAAGTTGGAGGTGATTGTTTGTCAGAAAAAATCCTTCCTGCACAAAGGTTAGTTGATGTAATGTAAGCGAAGCTCACGGCTAAGGCTCCTCTTTCTCTTTCTTCCACAACAGCTACCCAGTAGACAACCAAAGAGGTTCTGGCTCTGGAGGGCTGAAGAGATCCAGCCTAGTTAGTCCAAGCCACCCTCCACCAGCTCCTCCAACTGGATCCCCTCCAGGAGCCAGGCCAGGCTTCGCTCCCCCTCCAGCTCCTCCCTCCCACAGCAGACTATGCTGCTGTGCCTCTGCCTCTGCTACCTCAGCAAATTGGCGGTGCGCCACCACCTCCCCCACCCCCGCCACCTCCCGGCCCCCCTCCTTTGTCTGCAGGTGGCATGAATGGCCCGGCAGCTTCGCCTCCACCTTTGGACTCATCAGCCTCCAAGCCAAAATCCTCCTTGCCCGCGGTCAGCGATGCCCGGAGCGATTTGCTGTCAGCCATTCGTCAAGGTACGTCTTGGCATCGTTTTTTTGGAGTGTAAAATATTTCTCTTAGTGTAAAGCATTTCTCTTGCACGTAGCTGCTGTCCCTTCCTGTGGGAGGTCCCAGGGCACTAAGGGTGAGGGCCCAGGTGTCTTTCCAGAGGGCATCGCTCCCACTGGCTTCCTTTTTGCAACCCACACTTGCTATAGATAGCTGCATCCAGAGAGGATCTCAATATGCTGCCCACCCCTGCTTCATCCTGATAAGAGCGATAATTCTGACTATAATCTTCTGCCGTTCGCCCTGCTAGCTGCAGTCATCCTCCCTTCAAAACAGCAACGTGTACAGCACATCCAAGGAATATAGAAACAGACACCTTTTCCCAGCCTGGCCTCATCGGTTGGTGGCTTGTTGCTACACCAAGCTGGCCCAGCCTGCCTCCAGATACTGAGCTGACCCTGTCCAAGGCTGTTCAGAAGACAACATTAGCAAGTCATTTCCCTTTAGCCCCCATGAAATCACAAGCCCTTGAGTGACTATCTCTGTTGTTGCCTTGACAGGCTTCCAGCTCCGCAAAGTGGAGGAGCAGCAGGAACAGGAGAAGCGGGATGTCGTGGGGAACGACGTGGCGACAATCCTTTCGCGCCGCATTGCTGTAGAATACAGTGACTCTGAGGATGATTCTTCGGAGTTTGATGAGGATGACTGGTCAGATTAACCATAGCTCCACTCTCCACCCTCCAAGCTGGTTTAGCCCCTTCCTAAAGAATCAAGTACTTAACCAGGTTGCCAAAACCTTTTTAGCCTTTCCTCTTTCATCCAGTAACCAAAGATATGCCAAGGACCCTTGGCTTTGGCAGGACTTGTAATTCACCTTTCTGCAAGGTCTCCTCAGGGACACCAAAGATTGCAATGTTGTTTGCCAGCAGGAGGGGACATGGTGGCTTTGAAAGCAAACCTGAACTGCCAGATTGTCGGTGCCGCAGAGAAAGCCAGCTCAGAGAGCCTGCGCGTTGTGGGGCTCTGTTTCCTAGTAAAAATCAGACCTATGATAGACAAAATCAGACTTATTACAGAGCTGTTGGACTTTGCAAAAAAAAAAAAAAATTCAGTCAGTTTTCTCACTGCAGCAACATGAGGGAAGTAGTGGACATAATTGGTTCTCCCTCCTCAATTAATGCTACAGGGAAATAGTAATGTCCCTTCTGTAGTGCAACCCATTGCTAAATAACGTTTTTGGCAATTAGCACCGTTATCCCAGGGTTTCCAAGCTAACTCAAGTTAAGCTGCCTGCCTCATCGTGGGATGGCAGGGTGCACCAGATGGAAATGTCAGCGCTAGGTTTTCTTTAAGAGCTGCCTCTCCCCCCCAGCACTGCCCTGAAGATCCTTTATTGTGCCTCTGAATCTGTCAGCAGAGTCTGAGTTAAAAGGCTGGAGCCTGAGCAGTCTGCTCAGCTGGCTGCCTCCTCCTGGCTGAGCAGAGGTGTTACCAGACCAAGCAGTTCCCCTGTCACATCTGGAGCGCTGACAAAACTGGCCTTGCTAGGCACCACACGATCTGTTGTGCCAGGAGGGCTTTATTGGTTATCTAGTCAGCTCTACAATGTGTCCAGTACAGGGAGGTGGAACTGGTGATACTGGGAGGGGCAGGGTGCTCTGGGTGCAATACAGGCTTTGAGCACATTGGGCATTCAGCGTGATTACAGCTAACTTACAGCCAGGGCTCGAGTGCGATGTCTTCACATCTCATTCAGCCTGCTTAGAGCAGCACGTTGGTCAGGTTGATTAAGGGTGCTTTTCCGTGAGGTCGATAGCGCACTTTATGCAGGAACGTGAGCCACCGAAAAGCCAGTATTTAACCTGTGCTGCTGTCTCCTACCCTGAGAAAAAGGATTTCATATTGCATAAAGGTGTCTTGTCTGCAAACCAAGTCAGCCAGTAGTGACATTAGACCTAACCCATGTTGTTGGTTTTCCATCGCTTCACATCCGTATTTCACTAGCGTAATTCTCAGTAAATGTTCTTAACGACTCCTTTCCCGGATAAGGGTACAAATTCCTGACCAGAGGTGCATCCCAGGGAACTGGGGAGCTTGGATTACCTGACTTCACTTAGATACCTTTATTGCCTTTTTTTTTTTTTTTAATTGAGCAGAAGTATCTCCAGAGCAGAGAGACCAGAATTCCTTTGGGAAGCAGGTGCATTTTCCATCCCTTGCTTGGTCCCAACTAGCCAAGTCTGTCGGTGTGCTATAAAGGAGCAGTTCTGAAGTCTCTCTGGGAGACTGCGGTCCCTGCCCTGCCCCTTCTAAAGGACTCTGACAACATGTGCCTGCCCTGCCCTTCCCTTCCATCTGTGGCGTGCCTTCTCACTGCTTTCAGGTATTGAAGCAAGGATGCTGCTGATACGTGGGAACCAGCTTGACGTTCCTGTGTTGCCAAAGCTCCCTTCTCGAGCTTCATTGCTTTTTATAACATTTAAATTCTTGCGTTTCTGAGTGCCTTTCTCTCTCTCCCTGTTTAATAACCAACTGTCGCAGCTCTTAGGTTCTTCTAGAGGACCAAGGGACCAAGCTAATGAAGGCGCTTGTTGTCAAGTTCCAGTTTGACCATAAACACCAGTGAAACTAATTTATTGGGCCTCTGCATCGATGCATTTTAGCAACAAGGCCAGAGCATAAACCAGAATCCTCAAAGGATGTGGGCAGTGATGCTTACACGACTTCCCAGTGGGGCCTGCATTAGTTTCAGTTTTGGAAAAGGGAACAAATCTTCCCATGTCCAAGTGCATCACAGTGTTCTGGGAACCAAAAGCGCACAAAGCCCAGCTTGGGTTTGAGAGCTGCCTTGGCTAAGCCCATGCCCTTGTGAAGAGGGAACTAGCACTCCCTTCACATTGGGCAGGAAAGGTGCGGTCTCCATCGTGACTGGTGATGGGCAGTGCCTCTGTGCGCAGCTGGCTCGTGGGGAGGGTGCGGTTAGACCGTTCAGGGACCTGCCCCCCAGCTCTGCCCACCGTTCTCCACGCCCATGCCATGGAGTTTTCGATCCTTTTGTCATTGTGCAGACAGAAGCAGCGGCTCCCATCAAGGAGGGAGAAACGCTTGTATTCTTGCCAGCCTAGCTGAAAAGCAATTGTGCTTCAAAAGCACTAAGTCCTTCAGACTGCATCTCCAGTGGGGGCTGTGGACAGGTGCTAGGGGTGCCTAACCACCCTCTCCCCACATCTGCAGATGTGGGTGATACCACAATTACTGCTAAGTACTGCTGATCTCAACTGCTCAGCAGCCCGTTGGGGGAAGCGCAGAGCCGTGGGTAGCCAGGTAGGTTCTGAGCAATCCTTAAAGTAGTGGTGGGGAAGGGAAATAGGTGCCAAGAACAGCCTCCGCAGGGTGGTTGTACTCTAATTAGAAGCCTGCTGACCCATTTGTAGCAACGCCGCGGCGATTGGCTGAGCGGCTGCCCGACCTCTTTGCTAACCTCGCCGCGTGCGCTGCGCCTGTCGCAGCGGCCAACAGCACAGCCGAGGGAGCGCCCAGCAGCTAACGGATCCGGAGAGGGGAGCAGGAGGCACTTGAAAGGGCTGTCCAGAGCCGCCCTCGGGGGAGACAGGAACAGAAGCAGAAGATGCTGGGCTCCCGGGGAGATGCCAGCCCAGTGCAGCCTGGGACCGATGTGCCATCGGCTCTCTTGCCTTGCAGTGAGCGTCTAGGCCGGTCACGGTGTCTGTCCTTTCGAAGCAGCGTGATGCTGGTTAGCGGTTAGACAGTCTCACTGTGTTCTCAGCTGCAGTGCTTGGCTGCTTCTTGCTGCGCTCCCCCCTCCCTGCACTCGCACATGGGGAATGCCTGGTCCCCGTTTCCAGGGCTCATCTGCAGTCGCTGACCTTCACTGGTCTCCCCTCTCCTTATCAGTCATAGTGCACCAGACCAAATCCAGGGAAACGGCTCCTGGCGAGTCCCAGATGGCCATGGAGCTGCAGGAAGTCTGATTTCAGAAGGAAGAGATTTGCAGTCCATGGACATGTTCAGTGTGCTGGCTTGGAAAGAACCTGCCCTTGAAGGGCGCTGGGCCTGGCTTTGGCCAGGGGCAGAGGCATGTCCTCCCACATCCCTCTCAGCTGCCCGGGGTCCGGTTTTCCACCTGTGTTTTCTCCACAAAGCCTTCAAGGGGGACGTGGATCAGATTGTATTGCTGTATTAACTTTAGTCATTTTAATGCATTTCAGAAACTTAACTGATTTTTTTTTTCCTGACTAGAATGACGTAGAACTAGAAGAGCCATAATGCTCCCGAAGTGCCTTATTTCCTATATGACATAAATATATTTATCAGAGTAATGATTTCCACTTGTATCGGTGGGGTCTGTCGGGCGACCGTGGTGGGACAGGGAGGAGACGCAGCATGCTGCCCAACGAGCCGTGCCGCGAACGGGCCACGCTACAGCATCCTCTGGGTGCTCAGCCCAAGGGAACGCACCCCCTCAGACCAAAGGGGTGCAGAGGATTAAAAGCTCCCCTCTGACACCTCACCAGCAAAATATCGGGGTGGCCGCATCCAGGCTTGGACTCCAGACCAAGGACTGTCTGCCTCCCACCCACCCCCACCAAGTGAGTAATGACAGCCCTGATCCTGGGGGCCTGTGCCTGTGTACATCAGGAGGAAGGTCACCGGCTGCAAGCATGCAGCTCCAGATTTACACCCGTCTCCCCGAGTTCAGAGTCTGGCCCCGCCGTTCTTTCCTAACAGCGCCTGTCTCCGTGTTCCTCTTCCGGTTGTTGTTAAGCCAAGCTTTCGTACTTTTTTTATAATTGGTTCTGTCTCCCCAGGTTGAAGACCCCCCATTGCAGATTTTGTAATGTACTTGTAAAAAATACGATAGTCTTTTTTTTAAAATGTAGACTTAAAAAAAAAAATTCTTGATAAAATCTTTCTATCCAATCACCCCTCGTGTTGATGCTCCTTGGAAGCAGGGGTGGGGGTTTAACGGGCTGGGAATGCAGGTAACACGCGGCGAAGATGCTCTCGTTGCAGGCCTGAGGACCTGGTCCTGGGAGAGTGGGTTTGGTAAGCTGCCTGTGGCCGCCTTTGAGAGGAGGTACTGAAACTGGGAAGCCAAATTTGAGATCAGATTGCTACTACTGCCCAATTGCTGGGACTGGTTTATCTGTACTCAGAAGTTCCCCAGCCCTGGAACAGGAGAGAGGGGTTCCAGAAACGGGCTGTGTACGTAACCCACGTACGCAAGGCTGCTGTATTGTGATCTGAAAAGCCAGCCCCAGAAGCTGGGAGTGTACAACAGACTTTGCAGGCTGTGCAAGCAGAGCTCTCTTCATCCACCACCAAATGCAGCCACTTCTGGGGTGGAGAAGTGCCATCTGCGCAGCCAGCCAGCGCTCATCCATCTGCAGAACCGTGCCAGGAGAGGAATCCTTGCGCGGGGAGACAGGCTGGTCTCTTCACAGCACATTAAAACAAGGCCCCCGCGGTAGTCCTTGCTTTTAAATAAATACCTATTTATTTAAAAGCAATTCGTTGCCTTTAAAGTTGCTAATAGCCCCGCTCAAGCTGCATGGCACACCGTTTGTCACGCATGGGTGAACTGCAAGCTGGCCGCGGCACTCGGGATGCTTTCTCAGGGACGGCGTGTCTTGTCAGACAACTTGCTGAGTTAGCCCATTGCCTGAATGTGCTGCTTTGCAGATGGTGGTGGGAGAGAGAAGAGCCTTTGTCTCAAACCCTCCGGTCCACGTGCGCCACAGCCTTCAGGCCTGGCTGTCCCATATTGGAAACTCCCTTGATTTCCCCGGGGCAGGCATGCATGCAGGCTGCACGGTGCCGGGCGGGTCACTGAGGTTCACGACCCCGCTGCAAACTCGTTAGATTAATTAGGTAATCCCTGCCTGCTATTGCAGAGCTAATGGCGGCGGGGTGGGGGGAGAGAAGGGAGCTGGTTGCGGTCGGCGCTTAGCTCTCAAACGGATGCCCCCACCCTCCAGCCGTTCGCTGGCGAGCAGCAAGCCCCATATTGCACGCGAGACCCTGAGATGAGCAGCCGGGGCTCTGCCAGCCCGTCCTCGCAAGGGGACCTAGATGTGGCTCTGATCAGTCATTTCAGCACGGCGGGCTCCGCAAAGGTGGCCGAAGGGGAGAGCGCGATGCGGGAACAGCACGCTCCTGCAGCTCCCCATCCCTCGTGCATGAGCCCTTCGTTTCCCACAGGCTGGCTGACCTGTCGGTTCCTCTCGTCTTAATAGCCGCAGTCTCCTTGATTAGGACCAAAATGCTGCGCGGCTCCAATTAGCGGGAGGCTTCCTAGCAGGGTCCTCTCCCCGCAGCTCCTCTCTCCCGTTTTGCGGCCGTCCCTCACCCCGGCACGGCTGCGGGCTGAGCTGCCTGGCAGCAAGGCCAGGGGTCTGGCAAGCCAGATTGGACCCCTTTCGTACTTGGGCGTGGGGGGCAGCTGCTCTAGCATCACTCCTGGCTGCCCGACACCGCAGCTGCGGCCCGGGTGGCAGGCGAAAGGCCGCGTGTTTCGCACACCTGCTTTGCACGGCTCTGGCCTGAGCGGGGAAATGGCCGTGGCAGGCTCCAAGCCGACGCGCTGCCTCCCCCGGCAGCGAGACACGCGATGGCGCGGCGAACGGCGCGTCCTGCAAAGTTCTCCTCTCCATTAGCCGCGATTTCCGGAGGAGCCGCCGCTTGCAGAAGCAGCTGGGAGGGCCTCTCGGGGCCTGCCTGTGCCTTGCAACTCTGGCCTTGTCCAAAGCATTTGATGTGCGTACGTGTCTCTCTCTGCTTGCACCGGGCTCGGTGCTAAAGCGCAGCTGGCTGGAAGGCTGCTTCACAGGAGCCCCGGTCTCCGAAGACCCATTTAATTTTCTCCTTCAAGGTGGTGTGAGCAACACCAAGAAGATGCTGCTGGCTGGCTCGGACAAGTGGGACATCGGGCCTCTCCACATTGACGTCATCTTCTCTCCCTTAATTCCCCCTCTGGGACCGAGGCGAGTTCAGGCACTGCCAGCCGTGATCAGTGTTAACAGCCTGCTCTCCCAGCGTGCGGCGTGGCTCTGCTACGCCCGTGTCGCCCCCTTCCCAGGCCGCGTTCGTTAGCCAGGCATCCCTGGGTGCTGGGAGACATCCCCCCCCATAGCGCGGGGCCTGATCCTGCCTGCTCACCCTTCCCCAGGCCTCCACGGCATGCCGGGAAAGCAGGACCAGCCGTTTGGAAATGTCCGGCTGTATTTTCTTTTATATTTTATTTTATGTTGTATTTCTTCCTTCCTCTCTTGTGCTGTTTCATCTGCAGCCGTGCGGGGACCAGGCAAAGCGGCTGCCGCGCTGCGCCGGGCTTTATCTGTAACTCTTCCATCTGCTCGCAGCCGCGTACAGATAACCGCGGGGTGCCAGAGGAATTATGGATTTGGAGCTGGAGCGTCTGCAGTCTGGCAGCGCGGCGGCTCTGCGCCAGGCCCGGGCGTGCTCACAAAGGCCGGCGCCTGCATGCGAGCGGCTTGAGGCAGCGGTTGTCAAACCCTCGCCGCAGAGAGGCCCGAGTCCTGCTCTTAATGAGGGTCCGTGGGCCAGGGCTGCACAAACGAGGCAACCCCGCAGCAGCTCCCCCGCCGCTACCCAGAGCAGGCTCGAGCAACGGCAGAGTCTAGAAAACGGTCTGCGGTTGCGAGGGCGGCCCGCTTGCTTTTTGTCTTTTCAGTCTTCCTGATTTGCTGGCAGGGATCTCTCCGCCAGGCCAAAAACCAGGGGCAAGAGTCCCCCCCGCCCTTGGCAGCACTGAGATGCCCGTGGAAGGGGGTGGCGAGGGCTCCCGCTCTCCTCCCGACCCCTCCTTGGCTTCTGGGCGCAGGCACGAGCCCCCGGTCAGCAAAGCACGAGCACGGCTCTCGCCCTGGAGAAAGAGAGCGCTGGGTTGGGGCGGACGCCGTGGGCTGATGCGTCTCGCGCTCCAGCCAGACCCGCCGGTGCTCGGTTTGGGGGTGGCAGGCTCGTGGCTGCACCAGGATGTCTCACAAGCACCTTCCTCCCCTGCAAGCGCTGGCTAAAGGGCTTCCTGGCATGCTCAGACGCCCAGGGCACGTTCTGCCCCAGCACTCAGAGGCCAGGAGCGCGAGGTTCGGGGCGCGGTGGGGCCCGTGCTCATGCCCTTGGAAGAGCCCCGGGGCAGCAGAGCAGGGAGAACAAGGACCTGCTGCTTTGGGAGCGGGGCAGCTTGCGTAGGGGCATCCTCCTCCCCGTCTCTCATCAGCAAGGAGGGGGAGAAGCCTGGAAGAGCCCCGGCACCTGGGGGGGGCTGGCGCTGGGTTGCTAGGAGAAGTCTCTCACCTGCAAAGAAGCAAGCCTTGCTTTGCCATGGTTACCTTGGCGCGATGTCACCTGCGGCCCTGACCCCCGCGCTGCCTCCCTGGTAACCGAGCGCGGCGCCGTCAATTCCAGCGCCGCAGCTATAACCTACGGCTTTCGTGTGGGCCCGGCCCCCGGAGAGCCTGCGAGGGGGAGCGCCAGGCTCGGGGCAGGGCTGCAGCATCTCGCTGCAGAGAGCCGGTCCACGGGGACCTTGCAAGGATCCCCCCTGCCTCCCTCTTCCAGGCCTGGCCTTTGCAAGGAGAGCCGCGAGGGAGCAAACGCTGCCCACGTGCCCATGCCCAGGCCCCGAGGCTGCCGTTGGCTTCATCCAAATGTGCCTCTCCCGGGGTCGCTGCTCCCTCGTTTGGCAGCTGGCTGTGAGCCTCGTCCCCGCGGCCATGGCAGTGCTGGCCACGAGTGACCTTTGCGAGGGCTGTGGGTGGAGACGCACACACGGCTGCACCCCCAAGTGACAAGCAACCCCCCCC